ATCCCTTTTTATTTTTTTTTATTTCCCCTCTAGACTTTTCCGTTCACTCTTATTGTTTTTTCGCGCAACAAACTTTTTACCCTGCTGCGTTTTCAAAGCCTTTAGGTATTTTCCCACAAGTTTTTAATATGCCATTGAAAATAGTTATTGAGTGCGAGAAAAAAGTAAATCACTGCCTTAAGTTTCAAGTTTTGCTTCAAGTTTATTTAATTTTAATTGGAAGCAAGTTTATTTATTAATTTCAAGTTTATTTAATTTAAATAAACTTGAATATTTTTAAAATTACAATTATGAATTATAATAAAATTGTTTTACAATTAAGTTAAATAAATAACCTTGTTGTAAAACAAGTTTATAAAAAACAAGTTTATAGGTAATTGTAATTGTAAAAACATCCAAGTTTATTTTTCTTTTATATAGTTTTTATTTTCAAGTTTATTAAATTGTAAAACAAGTTTCAAGTTTATTTAACAATACAATTGTAAAACAAGTTTGTTTTATTTAATTGTAAAACGTTTATTTTATCCCATAATTGTAAATTGTAAAAATACTTTTGTAAACTTTTTTTTAATTTATACATATTTTTACAATTTAACCATGTTTAAAAATATATTTTTAATTTTTTGACAGTAATTTACAATGTTCCCCCCATGCTAAATTGTGCATGAAAGTTTAGTCGGTAAAATCAAACAAAAACGCTATTTAAATATATGCCTTTTGGCCTTTCCTAAAGCCGAGAGGATTATCTCTCTTCTTCATTTTTTCTTTGATTTGTGTTTGGCTTTTAATAATTGGCACATTCCTCGAAAAAATGGCATTTTCTAATTATTAAAAATCGTTAAATTATTTTTTTAAAAATCACAAAAATATCCAACTGCTCAATTACTTGTTTTAAAAAACATAATAACCAAAATTGTTTTAAAAAATAATAATTTTAACAAATAACAAAATAAATATAATAGTTAGAACGGAAATTATGAGATGATCTCCTCCTCTCCCTATGCCTTTTTAGAAAAAAAAATTAAAAAGAAATTTGACTATTTGGCACTTGGCAGGACAGGTGCATCATTGGAATATATAAAGGAATAAAAAGCGTGTGCTACGGATAAAGAAAAAATACGGTAATTTCTTTAGAAAGAAAAAATAAGGCTAAAACAGCTAGTTACAAATTTACAATTTGTATTATTTTACAATTAAGCATGTTTTTACAATTAAGCGATAATTAAACTTGACTGACAATCTTTATTTGTTAAGATTGTAAAACATTAAAGTTCCAACTTGTTTCAACCTTTTTATTTGTTTTACAATTTATCCAAGTTTATTTACAATTCAAACAATTACAAAACTTGGCAAACAACAAACATAAATAAAACTTTTTTAAGATTGTAAAACATTTTTATAAATACTTTCAAACTTTTTTTCCAACCTTTTTAAGTTTACAATTTTACAATTTATTCAAGTTTATTTTCCGCAACTCAAACAACAAACTTAAAAAATAAAACTTGTTTATTAAACTTTATTTTTTACAATTGTAAAACATTTAATTTCCAACCTTCTTTTCAACTTTTTTCCAACCTTTCTGCTTTATAAATACCTATTTTTAAACGTTTTGTCACGGTTTATTTCAAGTGTTTTTCTCTCCTGTTTTAGTCCTCGATTATTTTCTGTTAAAAATCAAAGCAAATTCAAAAAATTCTTTTGATGTATTTTCAACACTTTATACCCTCTTTCAAACATTTTTCTCCTTTTTTTCTCTTAAAAATGCCGACACTAAAGTGTTGAAGTATTTATAACAAACACACAGACACTCGGTCCCAGCGGGTGAAGAGGCGCTTGAGGTAGGAGGAGAAGGTATAGCGGTCTACAAAAAAGAAGAATCTCACACCTTACTCTTTTGTATATATCATTTTATATTTTTTTAATATTCTCTCCATGCAAATCATTCATCTGCTACTAAATTATTCAACAAATATTATACTATAGGGGCTAGAGGGCAGGGGTGTGTCGTTTCGTCTTTCGCCTTTCGACATATTTTCGTCTTTTTTGGTGTTTCGTCTTTCGCCTTCCTCTTTCGCTTTTTAAAATCTGTATCGACACATCCCTGGTGGAGGGGAAGGGGGAGATTAAAGGGAGGAGGGCTCCGAGAATGAAGCTAACAAATAAAAAATAGTTGGCTTAAATTTGGTCAACTTTACCAATAATAGACCATTCCATTACTATATTTCCCATGATTAGTGTTGCCAAAATAGCCCGAGATTCAATTCGAATTCTCATTGTGGCCAGAAAAAGAAAGGCCCGACTCGACAAAAGGCAACCCCTAAAAATTGCACTGAATGTTGGCCTGTCTCGAGAAAGGCAATAAAAATATACTGTTCATAATTCTAATCAAAAATCCTTAAATTTTATTTATTTTTCTTTAAATAAATGAAGTATAAAATCTGTAGAGTAATATATAAAAAATAAATTTGAGGGAAGTAAATAAAAAAAGTTACAGGAGGAACTTGAAAAATTATATAACCCGAAAATGATAGAAAAACTTAAAGTAAATAAAAGAGTATTACTGGCAAAAAAATAAAATTTTTAAGGAATTGAGGACAAGATTTGGATGAAAAATAAATTTTTGCTCTCGTTAAGACAACAAAAATTACATAATTATTATTTGACTAAAATAAATATACAAATTTAAGGATGAAAAAATGTTAGATTAAATAATGAAAATAATTTTTAAAATAATATTTTAAATAAAATAAAGCTTTTGATATATAAATTATCCTTCAAAATAAACTTGGAATGAAAGAAAAAGGAGGAAAGTGAAGGCTTGTAATATACACCCGTATTCTGTTTGTGCGCCAAATAAGTTTTTAAGTATAAACGCTAAAACATGTTTTGTAAAAAACCGTGTTTTGCAAAACATTTGTAAAACTTGTTTTGTAAGAAGATTTTGTAGAAACTTGGATAGAAACTCTTATTTTATAAACTTGTTTTACAAACCCTTCGCAGAACATGTTTTCCAAACTTGATTTCAAGAAACTTAGATTTGTAAAAACATGTTTTGTAAAAACTTGTAAACGAAACTTTATTTTTAAAACTTGTTTTCCAAACTTTTTTTTTGCAAAAACTTGTTTTACAAAACTTACCTTCTAAAAACATTAATTTTGTAAAACTTGTTTTCCAAAACTTTTTTTTTTGTAAAAAAAATTAGATTTGTAAAAACTTGTTTTACAACTTGTTTACAAACTTTTTACAAAACATGTTTTACAAAACTTGATTTGTAAAAACTTAAAAATTTGTTTGGAACACTAAACAAACATAATAAAATAAACATGTTTTTAGGTTTAATTTGTAATCACAGATATTCTTGTTAAGGTAAAACTTGAAACTTTCTTTAGCCAATTACCATCTTCAATAATTATTTTAATAGACGTAATATTTTTTAAAAAATTGTTTTCTTCAAAAATTAAATTAAATTGATCAATTAAATTATTTTTTTGGTTAATTGAAGAATTAAAAATATTTTTAGAATTGTTTTTAGAATGGTTAATTTGGACATTAATTAATGATTTTGGTAATAAATTCCAGACAGAAGATAATGGTTCAGTAAATTGAATTGAAAAGAAGATTTTAATTTCTAAAAAAACTTTTTAAATTAAATTTTAATTAAAAATAGGTTAATTAATTTTAAGAGAGATTAGGGTTATTTTTGAAGCAGATTTGAAGCTTACTGCATAGGACCGGTAGGATCTTACCCCGATAATTTGTTAAAATAAAAACGTTCTTGGAAATAAATAAATTTAGAATTAATTAAGCATAAAATCCTAAAAAACTAAAATTTAAAATGATATGACAAAAAAGTTGCAGTCAAAAAATAACATTTTTAGCATATTTATGAAGGCTTTTAGAGCACAACTTTTTCTTAAAATAACCTAAAATTTTCAATTAAACTTTAATTTGTAGCAAATTTAATTCTGTATCGAATGATACCAAAAACTTGAAAAAAGGTTAATTTAATCAAAAGTTATAAAAATTAAAATGGACCGATGTTTTCTACCCTTAATTGTTTTTTCCCAACTTTAAAATTTTTTTAATATTATAATTATGTAATTTAAAAAATTATTGACCTTTCAATAAAGCTATAGGTTTTGAAAAATAATTAAATTCGAATAAATTTGTTTGATCAATTTCAGTTAAATTTATATTTAAAGGAGTAAAATTTAAATAAAAATCTTTCAATTTTTTAAATAAATTTTTTGGATAAAATTTTGTAGCTTTGTAATTTTGACTTTTAATTAAGGGAAATTGAATTTGAGGTTTAAAATCCTTTTCTGTTAATTTTTGAATTTTGCCAGTAAGCGATGATTGTATTCCTATATGTTGAAATAATGGTGGTTTATGAGAGAAAAGTACAATATTGTTCAATCTCTGGAAATAAAAAAAGAAAAGTTTAAATAAAAAGTTTTTTCAAGATTGTAAAACAGCTTAAAACATTTGTGTAAAGTTTTTTTAGTAAAATATCTCTTAAAGCCTTTTTATGGTTTGTAAACTTGTTTTTTAAACCATATGTAAAAAAGGATTGTAAAATTTATTTTAAAACATTTTGTTAAAACTTGTTTGTAAAAATTTATCACTAGTTTGTAAAACTTAATCTGTAAAACATATAAACTTTTTTGTCTAGATTGTAAAACATTTAAAACTATGCTAAAAACTTGTTTTTGTAAAACATCTCTTAAAAACTTTTTCCTATTTGTAAAACCTGTTTTTAAACTATATTTGTAAAAAAGGTTTGTAAAACATGTTTTTTAAACATTTTTGTAAATTTTGTTAAAACTTGTTTGTAAAACATTTAAAACATCTAAAAACATGTTTTACTAAAACATGTTTTAAAAAACTATTTTCTAGTTTGTAAAACATGTTTTTAAAACTTTTCTAAAAACAAGGTTTGTAAAACTTGTTTTTACACTCTCAAAACATTTTCCCTAGTTTGTAAAATTATTTAAACATATTTAAAATTTGTTTGAAAACTTGTTCGAACAAAACTTTTTTTCTAGTTTGTAAAATAAGTTAATAATATTGTTTTTAACAATTACCTTTTTATAACAATTTGGCCAACCCTCATCTATCGGACAAAATTTTGAACTAATTACATTTTGTAAAATCCAATCAACAGGTAATGAAGTATACAATAATAAAATAAAATGAGCCATTTGTAACAAATCATAATTATTATGAAACATTCTACCAATAAATCCCAAACTTGAAAATTCAATCATAAAAAATTTTTCTGAATTATTATTTGCAAAACGTAACATTTCGCTGACAAAACCTTAAAAACAAAATTTTTAAAATCTAATTGTAAGAACAGTTTTTAATTTAATTATAAGACCTATGGTTATCTTGAAACTATCCGGAAACTATATATGTAGATAAAGGGTATATTTAACTATCTAGAAAAGAAATTGTATTAGAGAGTGGGCATCTGCTAAAAATCATTTGTTGTTAAATAAATTATTTTTTAGATTGTAAAACATGTAAAACTTTTCATTAAAGTTGTTTTGTAACCCCCTTATTACAATTCCCTTTCTAGATTGTAAAACTTGTTTATAAAACAAGTTTTAATAAAACATCTTAATTGTTTAAATTAAAACATGTTTAATTTAAACATAAACCATGTTTTAATTAGAATTTGTAAAAAATTGTAAAATGTTTTTATTTAAAAAAACATGTTTATTAACATGTTTGTAAAAACATACAAGTTTGCAAAACCCTCTTGCAAAACTTTTTACAATTCCTTTTCTAGATTGTAAAACTTATTTATAAAACATGTTTGTAAAACATGTTTTTTTAATAAAACAAGTTTGTAAAACACATTTTAAAGCTTGTCTAAACAACTTAATTACAGAACAAAACATTTTTACAAACAAAAACATTTACCAGGTACAGTAACAATATCATCTTCTAACTGAACATAATATTTAGAACTTGGTTTGGAATTATAAACATGTAACATTGCATAAGCATAATCCAAGTTTTGTTTAGTTCTCCATACCATTCTTGCTGGAGGATCGCCTAATGTTGTTTTTATTTTTTCCAAGTCGGGAGGAAAACTATAAAAAAGTTTTGTTTGTTAAATCATTTGCTTGATAAACTTTTTTTTAAGATTGTAAAACTTATTTAGAAAAACTTGTTTTTGTAAAACTTTTTACAACTCTTTTAAGTTTGTAAAAACATCAATATAAACATTCTGTTAAATTTGTACAAAACATGTTTTTAAAAACTTTTTGTTAAAGAAGTTTGTAAAACATGTTTTATTAAAACTTTATAGGTTGCAAACATTAAGTTGAACTTTTTTTAGAACAAGTTTTCTAGTTTGCAGAAACTTAAAACTTTTCTTCATACCATGTTTTTAAGTTTGCAAAACTTGTTTTATTAAAATTTTCTACAAAACATGTTTTTAAAACTTTTATAAAACAAGTTTGTAAAAACATTCAAGTTTACAAAAACCTTATGCAAAACATTTTATTAAACTTAACGTCAAAACATGTTCTAAACAAGTTTGTAAAGCTTGTTTTATAAAAACATTTTTTCAAGTTTGCGAAACTTAATTATTCAAAATAAACATTTTAAAAAATTCACTAACAATTCAATAGGGGGTGAAATAACTTCCAAAATTCCCTGGTTAATTTCATTTTTAAATTTTTGATAAATTAATTTTGTAACATTTTCCTTCTTTTCTTCCATTTTTAAATCCCACGGATTTTCTGATATTAAAATAATTATTTGAATTATATGTAATTCTTCTTCTGCTATATTTTCTAATAAATTATGGAGTGTTTGGAACAAATAATTTTCCTTAAAAAATTCAGAAAAATTATTTTTTTAATTTAAAAAATTTACCCCTTCCCTAAAAGTACTCGGAATCATTAAAATAATTTCTGGTGGAGACCGTAATATTTTTGAAGAATTTAGTAATATTTGGGAATTTAAAGTTGTTAAATTTGTATTTTCTTTTAAATGAGGTAATAAATCTATTAGTTTTGATTTGTCTATCTGAGATTGGGATCTTGTAAGTTTTGTGAATGTTGATAAAGGAGGGTGAGGTAATTCGTTGCTTGCTGACTGGAAAAATTAAAATGGAATTTTAAAAACATATAAAAAATAGAAAAACGCAAAAATACAAAAAAGTTAGGACACAAAAAAACAAATAACGTAAACTTATGGGGCGTCGGCGAGGCGTTTGTGCAAAGTCAACGGTCGCTGGGTTCTGGGCCGGTAACATAAACCTATTCCTATCTCCCTTGCTCTGGACATACCTGGGGGCCTCCGAAGCAGCAAAATACTCCCCGGAGACCATAGGCGACTTTGTCCAATAAAGTCAGATTTCGGTGATTTTGGTGTCATTCGACTCAGCTCGAGGAGCTCTTCGAGGAGGAGCTCTTCCCCTCTTTGGTTTATTGATTTTCAATCGACCATATCTCGGGACCTTGGTATCGGACAAATCTCTCCCACACCTAGTTCGACGCAGCTCGGCGAGCTGCGTCGAATGACACCTCATACGTCCATATCCGTCCACGCATTAAAAACCAGCTATAAATGAAGAGTACCAAAAATACAAAAACACAAAAGAAACACAAAAAATAAAAATACAAAAAAAACACAAAAAATATAAAACTCTACCTCTTCTGCTTCTAATCTCTCAGTTGATAATTTCCACATTTCTTTAAATTTAAAATTTTCAGAAGATTCTGATTTTGTATTTTCCTCAAAACTTTCCTCTATTCTTTTCTGATAATTTGTAGACAAATAAATAAACTTTTCTAAATTTAATTTAAATTAATTATTTAATTAAATTTCCTTAACAAAACCTTTTTCTTCACTAATATAGTGTTTACTTGCAACAACAAAAAGTGTAACAATAAAAACAATTAAAGTAAAAATAAATATATTATTTAATAATTTCTTTTTGTTTAATTTTAATATTGTTGGAATCCTTCGCATTTTTTTCTTTCTTTTGATTAAATTTGAGCTTAATTAAAAATTAATTTAAAAAATATTATTGGTACGGTAACTGGAGAGAACGATAAAAAATTTTTTTTAAATAATTCAAAAATAACAGAACGCCAAAATTACAAAAATTAAGAGAATCTGAAAAAAAATTAGAAGCAGGGGTAAGTCGAAATTCCAATTTCCGAGTTCCAACTTTTGAGCCATTTCCGATTTCCGACAGTTCCGAGTTCCGACACCTTCATCATTTCTGGCCGACCTCTGATTTGGAGGAATGGGAAGGGGCCAATTAGGGATTTTTGAGACAAATTAGTGTTTTCGGTAAATGGGATGATTCGAGAGTGGGACGAACTGTGGGAGGCTGATAAGAATTCGGTAAAAAACGACGTTCAAGACAATGCGTCAATGGAAAAAAAGTCAGTGGACAAGAGCCGTAAATGAAGTATATTGGGGATTATAGGATATAAAGGGTAATTTGGAGGGATTAAGAGGGATATTGGGTGATTTCTGGGACCGATAAATTGGGGGATTTGTGGGACCGAAAAATAGGAAAGAAAATTTCCAGAGTCTTTGAACCTTTCAATTAAGAATAGAATTTATTAGAAATTGGAATTTTATGGAAGGCGTTTTTTTAATTTTTCGAAAAATTGAAATAAATTCTAAAAGATTATCATAAATTAAAATTTTTTATTAAATTAAAAAAAATGATTAAATTTTTTTATTTAAAATTTATTTTTAGAAAAAGGGGGATTTAAATGAAAATAAAAAATGAAGAGAAAAGAAACGTTTTACAATTTAATTATGGAAGAGATTTATTTTTGGTGAGCCTCCAAATTGAAAAAAATAATTTTTTTAATTGGATAGAAAAATAATATTTAGAACATCTAATCAAACAAATAAATAAAACAAAATTGTATAGGTAAGCATCTATTGGATACATTTTGGTTGATTTTGTGTTTTTCCAATTTTTATTTTCAATTTGAAATTCGAAAAAGAAAAAGTATTGACAGAGAAATGCCACAATTCTAATAGAAGCCCTAGGCTTCCATTTTTCAATGGGTCTCGTTGAGTGTGCTTCAAATAGTCATACCCTATTAAAGCATTTTATGGTATATTTTTATATGACAAAATTTGTTGATACCAAGTTTTTTGACACCCCTCCCTCTCAAATTTAATGATCAGATTCCCTCCTTCTTCAATTCCATCCTCAAATTAAAAACATTGATAAAGAAATGAATTTTTTTCTTAAGAAGGAAGTTTGACCATTATGTACATATTGAGGAAAAAAGAGGAGAGGGGAAGAAACTAGGTATTTCCAAAATTTTTATAGAAAATTCTTCTCGTAACTACCTACTAACGGAAATGGACTTTGCCACATTTTAAAAGACGCAAAACGGAAGAAAATTGGATTAAAATTTTAAAAAGTGGCAGGAGCAAGGGGAGAAATTGTACATATTTTTCAATAGTCCTTTGTTTAATAAAGAATTATTATATAAAAAATAAAAATAAATTATATAAAAAATAAATAAAAATATTTATTAAAAAATATACAAGATATACATAAACAAACATTGATTATAAAAAATATATAATTCCATTTATGTAAAATAATAAAAATTTGTAGTATGTAAAGGAGGGTGATTGGGACTTATTGGAAAAATAAATACTAAAATATTATTTACATATTTTAAAAAATAAAAAAATACAAAAATATGTACAAAAAATGAGAGAGAAAAAATTGTTTTTGAAATTTTTTATGGGAAAATTTAACAAATAAAATTTTAATTTTACACGGTTTTATTGTTAAATATTATGTAACAATGGGAAAAAAGAATGTTGAAAATAATGATTTTTAATCCCTGTCAATTAAATTTTTTTATGTTTCGATTTTAATCTATTTGGAATTTAGGGACATGTAGTAGAGTTCCATCATATTTCTGATGTGATGGAGTTTCCTCCAAGCGTCCCAAACAATCGAATCTTATCTTTTACCGTATTTTCTCGATTAATTCGACTGAGGAATTATTGTTTCAGCCTATCTCTAGCAAGGGGAATTAATCGAGAAAATAGGTATACTAGGATAGCCATACTAGAGCTGTCCGAGACCAAAAATTTTTCAAGACTCAAGACCCTAAACCAAGACTGGACCCCAAGACCAAGATCAAGACCGAAAAAACCCCAAGAAAAGTTTCGAGTCAAGACTCAATACCAAGAGTCTCGGACAGCTCTAAGCCGTACCCCGACGATTTTTTAACAAACCCCCGACCACCCCGACCCCGAAGTCTCTACCACGGCAAACCCCGAACCCCAAAACATCTGACTCCGGGGGCTCGGGGGAGCTACCCTATAGTATAACTATACTTTTGGGGCAGAAAAAACGTCTATAAAATTGGAGAAACAAAAAATTTCAAAAAAGAATTTGTTAAAATTTTGGTTTGCATTTAAACAATAAAAAATATTCTTGTTGGAATTTCCTCAATTTTAATAAACACTGGCCACCCACCCCCATTATTTCCCTTTTTTACATTCAAATCCTTTACTAAAAATATTCCAATAATTTTTTTCACGCTCCTATTTTAATAAAAAAATATTTTTATTTATTTATTGTTTAAATTCCAGCTGGCCAAAGCTAGTCTCAATTACAAAAAAAAATAATGGGCAACATAATAGGTATATATTTATTTGTATACTCATAAATAATAGAAAGGAAAAAAAATAAATAGAAGAAAAAAAAAATAAAGTAGATACTGGAATTTAAAGAAAAATCTCTTTAAAGAGGAATAAAAATACAAGAAAAAATCCGGGAGAGAACCGGAAGCGAAAAAGAGAAAAAAAACCCGAGAAAATCAAGTTATGGTCGCACTCTGAATTTGTGACACTGAAACGTCTACTATTTCAGTTAATTTTCAAAATGGTAAAAATCGTCTAATAAAATATGTCAAAATGTCAGCTTGACAAAATGCCAACAAACTTTGTGCCAGTGGTTTTTGGTTATTGCTAGGCTTGTTCCCCGTCCCGTCCCCGAAAGTCGGGGAATTTGAGACATTTTTTTGAAAATTTTCCGCTCCACCGTGGCGCTGCCTCTCCGAAAATTTTTCCCCGTGCCTAGTGGGGAAAATTACAAAAAAAAATTTCCCTCAGTGGGAAAATTTTTTTTCCCAGTTTCAGTTCCCAGTGGTTTTTAGTTCCGTTCTGTTAACCGTTGGTGTCTAACCAGAATATAATCCTATAATTTTTTAGATTTTTAAAAATATTTTTTAGCTTTAGAAACACTTAATAAAAATGTGGCTGTATATGAAAGGAATGCGGCACTCAATTTTTTCCCTTATTCTTAAAAATGGCTAATTTTCTTTTATTTTTCTTTCTATTTTTGATTTTTGCCTACGACTACAAATGCAAAAGGATTAATTTTTTTTTATTTTTTTATTTCGTTCGTTTGACTGACCGAGTTCGTCCGTGTTTGTCTGTCCGAGTTTGTCCGTGTTTGTCTATCCGAGTTCGTCCGTGTTTTATGTCCGTGTTTTAACTGACCAATGTGTCAGATTGACAAAACTCGGACGAACCCGGACAGACAAACACGGACGAACTCGGTCAGTTAAAACACGGACACACATCGGTCAGTCAAACGAACGAAATAAAAAAATAAAAGACCTTGGTCCAGACCCAGCTCGATCTCCATCAAACAGCTCTGAGTTTTAACTTTTTATTGGACTCCTAAATTAGACAAGAACTGGGACTATCGGCTCCCTATTTTTTGATCACCTCCGGCTACGGGCCTGATTTTATAGTGAATCGACTGTCTAATCTAAAATACTGCGTGTGGGACAAAATGTCACCTTATTTAATTTTTACTTTTTTCAGTTGATTTATGCTGCTGAAACACAAATTCCTCTATATTTATCTGAAGTATTGCCTGACATGTCCCAAGCAAACGAAGTTGACAGTTTTTTAATTTTTATCTCAAGAAAGGATGTTGACAATGTTCAACAGCCCCAACTTTGTTTGGAATTGCCTTATTACCCAGAAACTCTCTCAGATTTTCTTTACACTCGCTTTTGGCTCTTTCAATTATCTCAATGCTATTTTGATTCAATAAACTTTTCTTGTGCTGTTTTTAATCCAGCAATTGTCCAGCTACTTTTTTGTCATTTTACTGAAGGAGCGGATCTATTAGGGCCAGGTTTACTTTTTTTGATTTTTACGAATTTAATTTTTGCGTTTCTCCTCAATGTTTTTTTCTTTTTGGCAACTAAATCAATTTCGTTTTTAGTGAAAATGGGCACAAGTCATTTGTTTGTGCTGGGTTGGGGATGACAATTCCTGGGAAATTTTTGAATATTCGAAATTAGAAGCTATTTTAGGACAAAAAATTTTCGGATCCCCACTATTTTTCAGTTTCTGATATTCGGAACCGTTGTCCTTGGATGGGGGCCTTTGAATTTTTTTGGCGGACCTAAATTCTTCAAGCAGGAACCTTTTCATTCAATTTCATGAAAATTTTGATAAATTTTAAATCTTTCAATTAATAAGAACTTTTTCTTATCCTTATGCTCGTTTTTGATTGATTTAGTTGCCTGGAGGGAATAAAGTAGAAAAAAAATAGTGTTAGAATTGTAAGGGTTAGCACTGGGGACTTTAAGAATAAACAAATAAGAAAAACATTTCCAATTAAAATTTTATTTCCGAAATTTAAATATAATGTTGGCGAGCGTGGTTCTGCCAGCAAAAGCCAAAAAAACAATGGGGGAAAAGTAATAACTAATAAAGCTTTATATCGTTCTCAAAATGGGAGGAGTTTCTTTGCCATTCTAGAGTGATGTATTACAGAATAAAAAATTTTAAATAAATTTTTTTTCAATTTAAGCAATTCAATACCATGCCGGCAATGTTTGGTTAAATACTGGAAGTTTTATCAATGAAAACATTGAGGAACACCAACACACGTTAACTTTTGTTGAAAAATATTTGAAGGTTTATAAAAAATTGAATCTTCGTGTTCATGCATATTTTGATGGTTTATTGAATTTTTTACTTTTTTCTGATTGGAAAATTAAACAAGTTGTGTTTCCGTATGGACCCGGAAATTTAAATGTTGATTTGCACAATTTACTTGTTTATGTAAGGTTTTTTTGTTTAAATTTTTTGGGGGGAATTTGAGTTAAATTTTTTGAAGTTTTTGTTAACATTAAGGATGGGGGGCACTTCGAAATAAGTAAAAAGGAGGAAAAATTGGGAGAAGGATGATCGATTAAATCAAATATTTCTGCTTGCGACTTTCCAAATTTATAAAGTTTTCATCGACGTCGTCAAAATAAAAATATACACTGCTCCACAAAAGTATAGCGCCACCCTATTTTTCTCGGTTTCTATACTGTAACCGTTGTTTTTATTTTTAGACTTTTTTGTAATAATAAATAGTGGTCTAAAATTAGGTTTGTAAAAAAATTTTGTTTTTAAATCAATTTTTTCGATTGTTATAGGCAAATCCCCAGTTTTAGGGTTCCACAAAAGTATAGCGCCACCTTGAAATTTCGGGTTTCTAACATTAAGAAAAATCTACAAAAATTTGAGTTAACATAATGATCGATTCTAAGAAAAAATAAAAAAGAATTAGACCCATATCTCACTTCATTTTCGAGATCCAGATACCTCGAAAATCAACGTAAATCGGGGTCAAGGCTATTTAAAAAATATTTTCGACCCCTTATGTTTTGTTTTAAATTTTCGATTTGGGCTCATTCGAAAGCCCTTGAAATTTGCTACAAGATAGCATAAGTTTTATTTTCTAGAAAAATTATTTCAGTAAGTTATTAAGTTTTAAATTTCTAATGCACAAAAAACGACCAAATGCCCCCATAAAAGTAGCTCCATAAGATTAACGTCCTGTATATCTCTATCGAATTTTTCCTGAGATATATGTGTATTACTATCTTGTAGCAAATTTCAAGGGCTTTCGAATGAGCCCAAATCAAAAATTTAAAACAAAACATAAGGGGTCGAAAATATTTTTTAAATAGCCTTGACCCCGATTTACGTTGATTTTCGAGGTATCTGGATCTCGACAATGAAGTGAGATATGGGTCTAATTCTTTTTTATTTTTTCTTAGAATCGATCATTATGTTAACTCAAATTTTTGTAGATTTTTCTTAATGTTAGAAACCCGAAATTTCAAGGTGGCGCTATACTTTTGTGGAACCCTAAAACTGGGGATTTGCCTATAACAATCGAAAAAATTGATTTAAAAACAAAATTTTTTTACAAACCTAATTTTAGACCACTATTTATTATTACAAAAAAGTCTAAAAATAAAAACAACGGTTACAGTATAGAAACCGAGAAAAATAGGGTGGCGCTATACTTTTGTGGAGCAGTGTATGTAGGTTCAAAATAACGCCCAAATTTCATACCCAATTTTATCTCTTCCCCTGAAATCGACTCCTTGGCTATTGTCACTAGCTTTTAGATTCGGACCAGAAATTTTTAGTTTCTTATATCGGAATTTAAAATTGACCAAGATAGACAAACAAGAAATATTTGAAGATTTTCAGATGGTGGGGAATCAATCACATTTTTAAAAATTGTCTGCTACCCCAAAAATAACAAAAGCTTTCCTTTTTTTTCTAGGCATTATATTTTTACTAAATTATGTATTATTGGTACATAAAAGCATTTATAAATTAAAAAATTAAATTTTTTAATTTTTTTAAGCATGCAGAAATGTCCAAAAATTGTCTTCAAATAATTCCAAAAATTTGTTTTGACAATGCTAACGATTTTCCATGGCCAGATTTATGTACCAAAACAAAAATTGTGGAAGAAGGGAATGTAGAAGGAGGTTTATATTTTACAAAATACAAAGTAGAGAATCGTTATTATTCTTCTGTTTATTTTTTAATTAAAATTTGTCATTTATTTGAGGCTCAGGAATTTAAGAGTTTTGAAATTGAGAGAATAAAGTATTAATAAAAATTGTTAATAAAAAAAGTTTTTTGTGTGACATTTTGGTGTTGTGACATTTTGTCTTTGTGACGTTTTGTTTTTGTGACAAAATGTCCTAGTGGCGAAATGTCGTTTGCACTTGATTATTTTTTAAATTTTTTAAAAATTTTTTTGTTAATTTTTTAGAGTATTGAGAAAACTTTTCACTTAAAAAAAGAGAAAGAAAATGTCTGGTGATTGTTCATCATCAAAAAGAACTTCACTTTCCTCATTTCAACAGCCCTTAAATAGTTGTACTAATGCATCTTCTGATGTTGAACAATTTAGAATTAATGAGGTTTTTTCTTGTTTTAAATTTTTATACAATTTTTAAATTAAATTTTGAACACTATAAAGAAGAAAATTTTTAAAAATTTCGCTATTTTTCTTATTTTGTTGTTTATGGTTAAGTGGGATAATTTTCTTTTTAGTTGATCAAGGTTCGAATCCATCTAAGAGTTAATTATTTTTAAGGGATGAATACATATATTTTTCAGTATTAAATGACCAAATTTAATTTTTTGAAGCTAAAAACCTGTTTAATAATAAATAAATTTTTAGACAATTCGTATTCGTGAAAGCTTGGCAGATTTAAATTCTAAAGATCTCAGAAATTATTTTAAAGGAGTGAGGAAATTGTGTGATGACTTGGAAGCTAAAAAGGAAGATTTGGAGGTTTTATTTAAATTTATTGGAAATAATTTTCTATTGAAAAATAATGTACCGTTGTTGCGGATGGCCTTTTTTGCGAATTTTTTTTATTTATCGAACTGATTGTGAGTAAGAGTATGACTCACAATCAGTTTGTCTCTTTTGGGAAGTTTACAAAATCGGAAAAAATCCGCAAAAATGGCCGGTAATATAAAAGAGTATAGACCCCATTTTTTCCTTCCTATTTTTCCCCTATATTTGTACAAGATGGTCAGAATTTTTCCTTTTTTCCATCCAATTTGCCTTTCTAATTTTTGCCTAAAACAACCAAAAAGGATTATTTTTGATATTTTATACCCTTTTAATAGAGAAAATGAGTCTTCTCAAAACTCATACTTGTTAAATACAAAAAAATAATCCTTTTTGTTTGATTTTAAGCAAAAATTAGTAAGCAAATTGGATGGTAGGAAGAAAAAAAATCTGACCATTTTGTAAAAATATAGAGGGAAAGGAAAAAATAGGAAGAAAAAAATGAGGTCTATACTCTTCAATATTACCAAATGACCTGTTAAAATTTTTTTTCTTTCCTTAAAAAATTTTTTAGGTAGATTCAATTGTCCATCAACAAAATTTAAAACAAATGGAAGCTTCCTTAAAACAATTAAAAGACAATTTATCTATAACTAGAGAAAAAATATTTAACGAAAATTTGCTTTTGGTTGATTCCTTTAATAAATGTAATGAAAAAATTAAAGAGGTTTTTTTAAAAATTTTTTTGAGATTAAAAAATTAAAAAAAATTTATTTTTAGACAGCTCCAGAATTATTCGAAAAACTTGAAATTTTACGAGAATTGCAGCAAAAACAAAGTTACCTTAAATTTTTGAAATATTTTGTAAATTTGAGAGATGAAATTAGAAGGTGTTTAAGAAAAGGAAATTATTCCTTGTTGTTGGATAATTATCGAAAATTGCGGAAAATACCTAAAGAAAATATTGAGGTTGTTTTTTAAATTTATGTCAGTCTATTTTAGAGACCGGAATTTTGTATTGCACTGGGATTAGAAGTGTTTAAGAGGGGATTAACGGGGATATCTAACAAGTAACAATATTGAACTGTTACCAAAAATTTCGAAATAATTTTTATACCATCGGGTAGAGCATAGCCGAAAACCTACTATGGTGCCCGTCTTTTACGGCCCTACCCCCTATTTCGAAAAGTTATAGGACTTCAAAGTTTTTTGACTTTTGGAGCAGTTGAGTCGCATTTTTAGAGGATATTGAGGATTTGTGGGGATTAAAATGGATTCCAATCTTTTTGGGGATTAAGAGGGATTTGGGGGATTAAGGAGGATATGATGGATTTGAACAATTAAAATATGTATATCCCAGATTTTTCCCTTAATACTTCAAGCGCGTAGCCAGGGGGCTTTTGAGACTATAACTCTTCCTGAGATGGGGAAACTGAAGAAATTCTGGGAGGGAAATGATAACAAAAGTGAATTTTTCCCCCCAATCGACCTTTTTTTCCCCAAGCTCCCCAATCGACCCCCTGGCTACGCCCTTGTAATACTTACATATCCACTGATATCCCTCCAAATCCCCTTAATATGCCATTAATCCCTTGTTTCCTTAAAAATCCCAAATATTTTTTTCTCTTGCCTCAATTATTTTCCAAATATTCTCCAATTAATATTCTTTTAATTTTTTAGTATTTAATGGTTAAAGATTGTCGAAGAGATTATACAGTCAAATCAGCCTCTTTAGCTCAATTTTTACAATTAGAATTAAATTCAACTCTTTTCCTTGTATTTTCTCGTATTCACTTTCCTTTTGAAGAATCGGTTGATTTTAATACTTTAAAGCCTCAACTTGTTCAAACTGCTCAAATTTTGAAATGTTTAAGATTGGTTTGAAAATTTAATTTTTAATTAAAAGAGTTGAGTGAGACATTTGGTCCCAAAATATTTTAAACCTTGAAAATAATTTTTTAAGCATTTTTCTAGTTGAATTTTAAAAATTGAGACATTTGATCCCAGAATTCAAAAATCTGAAAATATTTTTTTTGTAAAATTTTTGTGAGACATTTGGTCCCAAAATCTTTTGAAAACCCACTCCGAACACTAACCCAGCTTTTTTTTCTCCCAATCCGCCTCATCTCTAAATAAGAGGTTGGATATGGTCCCAAAAATGTCTAAACCCTTGAAAATTATTTAAAAAATAATTTCTAAGTCAATTTGATAAGGTGACATTAGGTCCCAAAATCTTTTAAACCTTGAAAATAATTTTTTTAATATCTATATGAATTTAAATAGAGAGGGGGGTGACATTTGATCACTCTATTAGGAAACTCGAAAAATTTTTGGAAAATTTTAGATAAAGAAGTAAAAGGATGACATTTAGTCCCAAAGTGTCTAAAACTCCAAAAAACTTTTTTAAAATTTTTCTAGATAGATTTTTAAAAGGTTGAGACATTTGACCCTAGCATCTGAAAGCCTCAAAATAATTTTTAAAAAATTTTTTTATTTTTTCTAGATAAATATTGAAACATCCCCAACCAAAAATAGCGAAAAAGAATTGGCACCAAATGAAGAGCCAATGGAACTAGTTTTGGGTGAATTTGATAAACGTTTTAATTATCACTTTTATGGAGACAAAAAAACTAATTTACCTAGCAAACCAGAATGGTTTTTCTCACAACTTTCTTGTTGGGCAGAAAATAATTTGGAATATTTTGAAGTTTATCTACAACCATTTGTTGATGAGGTTTTTTCTTTTGAAAATAATTTTTTAGATTTTTTTGGAGGCCCCTTTTAATTTTAATTAGGCTTGAGTTGTTCAGAATATTTTTTATCGAGACAAAAATATGGGAAAAAATTTTTGGGGGAAATAAAAGGATTTTAGTGGAATTCTGGTAGACCGTGTAATTGCTGTTTGTATAGGCTCAAAATGTTTAACTCGAACATTTTTCGACTCGAAATTTGAAAGCTGATCCAGAGAAAATTTTTTTGAAATTCCAATCCGAGCCCTAACCTCTTTTTCTCTCAATCCGTCCCACCCCTAAATTATGAGACCTCTGCCCTACGAAATTCAGCATTTTGACCTTTAGGGAGAGAAAACGGGAAGAACGTTTCCTCCTTCAAAGAAGGAGGGAAAAAATTGAAAAGTGACTGAAAAACGTTTTCTAAAACCCAAGGGCGTAGCCAGGGGCGCTGAAAAAATAAAAATATAGTTTAAAAAAATTTGCGTTAGGAACGCCAGAGTAAACGCCAAAATTTTGGCGCACACCCAATTTTAGCCCCCCCTGAAATCGACCCCCTAGCTACGCCATTGCTTAAGCCTGTGGAAAAAATAAAATAAATTTTCTAACAAAAAATAAAAATTAGATGCAAAACAACATTAAAAACAACAACAACATTTACTATTCAAAACAATCAACAACAACAGCTAAACAAATATTTTTAGAAAGATTAATGAAATTAGCATCAGAAAAAGTGTCAGATTTATTTAAAAATGAAAAATTAATTCAAGAACGTCGACAACTTTCAAATTTAATTGATGAATGTGTTTTATTTGAAAGAGAAATGTTAGAAAATTTTGGTTATTTGGAAGAATCTGAAATTCATGTAATTTCGACCCTCTGTAATTTTGACAAAGTTTTGGAAGCTTGGATAAGATTGGAAAGGGATACACTTTCTGCTGGAGTAGATGCTATTTTGGCTGATAATAATGCTTATGAACCTAGATATAAGGAAGCGGTTGATGTTGATCCGGTTTTTATTTTTTTTTATTTTTAAAATTCTTTTCCCCCAAAGGGGTTCGAACCGTCGACCCTATTTTGTTTGAATTCTAAGCATTATCCCACTATACCACAAAAACAAATTTTTTGGGGTGATTGGAATCCGGTCTATTTTCTAAATTTTTTTTATTTTTAAAATTGGTTTCCCCCAAAGGGATTCGAACCTTCGACCTTTTTTTTATTGAATTCTAAGCATTATCCCACTACATCACAATGGCAAATTTTTTGGAGTGTTTAGGGTGATTGGGGCGGTTAATTTTTATGGTGAAATGAGCTCTATTTTACTATTTAAATATTTAGAAAATTTTTTTAGATTTATTATCACCCCTAAATCGTGAATATTAGAGGATCAATTACATTTATTCTCAAGTTTACGCTTTTTGCCTAATCTGATACCCGTAACATAGATATTTTCTCAATCCAGGACCCGATCCGAAGAAAATTTTGATGAACACCCAGAACCAGACATTTACATTTTTGTCAATCCTACTCATCCCTACCATCATTTGCTTTTATTTAACGGGAAACATTGTTATCACCCTCTCCCCCTCCCCTACCCGTGGCCTAAATTTTTGAATCCTTGCCCCCTTTCCGGTTTTTAATAAAAAAATTTTTCAGTATTTGGTCCCCAACTTTGCCGATTCTTTTGTAATATTAATGCAATCAATGTCAGAACGTTATCGTTCAATTCCCGATATGAAAATTCAATGTCGTTTTCTTAAATTACAACTTTTAATAGTTGATGAATTTAGAAGTAGAATTGTACGAATTGGACAGGCAAATAATCATAATTGTTTTTGTACACCTTTTCCACAACTTTTAAATGCTTTATGGTTTTTTTTGAATTTTTTATTTTACGAAAAAAATTTTTCTTAAGGTATTTAACTTTACTTCTTGATGATTGGAGTGATTCACCCGAATTTGTCCGTCTTCAATTTTTCTTACAACAACACCAACAAACTAATGGTTATTTTAAATCAGGGCTCGGATTCGTACTTTATTTGAAAGTACAGTACTTTAAAATCGACCTCCGTACTTACGAAATTGAATTTGTACTTTATTGAAAGTATGTACTTTAAAATCAACATTTTGAAAAAAATGGAAGAAATCTGGCTTAAGGACCTCCAAAATTCTCAAAATTTTCGCCTGCGGCGCAAAAAATGGAAGAAATCTGGCTTAAGGACCTCCAAAATTCTCAAAATTTTCGCCTGCGGCGCAAAAAATGGAAGAAATCTGGCTTAAGGACCTCCAAAATTCTCAAAATTTTCGCCTGCGGCGCAAAAAATGGAAGAAATCTGGCTTAAGGACCTCCAAAATTCTCAAAATTTTCGCCTGCGGCGCAAAAAATGGAAGAAATCTGGCTTAAGGACCTCCAAAATTCTCAAAATTTTCGCCTGCGGCGCAAAAAATGGAAGAAATCTGGCTTAAGGACCTCCAAAATTCTCAAAATTTTCGCCTGCGGCGCAAAAAATAAATTTTTTGGCGCCTTCGGCCCAAAAAAAAGATGCATTGAAATTGATAAAATGCTAAGTTGAAGCAAGAAATTATTAGAAAAGATTAATTTAAGAGAGAAATATAAAAGATTTGAGCACGAATAAATATTTTCTAATTTAATTTTAAGTGTACTTTAAATGTGGAAATTTTGCCCCTATGTACTTTAAAATCAAGATTTTTGTACTTTTTATTGGCATTTTGTCGATCCGAGCCCTGTTTTAAATAAATTTTAGGAAAATTTTTGAAAATATTTTTCCTTATAAGCGAACCTCATTTTCATATACCCCATAGAGACACAATTTTATATAATTTTTCTTAAATTTGGGTAACAACCTGGGTGAGGAAATCTTTTTAGGCGTTTAACCCCAATTTGAGATAACCTCATTATATGACACAATTTTCTAAACCGCAAGAGTGTATTTTTATTGTGGGGGGGGGGGGGGGGGTATCATTCTCTCGAATTCCAATGGTCAACCGATATTAGAAAAGAACATAAGCTTACTTATATCGAGGTGTATATTGACCGGTATGAGGTTCAGCTTGGTGTTTATGGGTATCCGGAATGGGGAAAAACTCTAGAGTCGGTTAGGTTATCACTTTCTTATACCCGGAGATTTCCTCAACAACCGCCAATTTTTGGTTGGTTTTTTTTTCCAATTTTCTCACCAATTCAACCAAATTTTCTCACCAACCTTTTATATGTTCAAATAAAATGGAGTTTCGACTTTATTTTTTCTTAAAGATCCCCATCAGCAACAACAAACTTCTTCTTCCACCACCTCTTCATCCTCCCAAAATTCAACAAATTTAATAAATTCCTTAGCTAGAGGAACTTTTGATGAAAATGCTTCATTATATCGACATGTTTGGCGTTTATGGGTTAGAAATATTTGTGAACAATTTTCTGAATTAATTAGCAAAAAATTGTCTTTAAAATATTCAAATGAAAAATGGTATGATTGGGAAGGGCCTCCAAAGCCTTCAGAAATTACACCTTCTTTTGAACCTTTTTTACGCAAAGTTAAAGAATTGTTGGAATGGTTAAGTTCAAATATTTCGTCAGATTCTGTTTTGACTTTTCAACATTTAACAAATCATGAAATTTGGACAGCTTTGGATTTGTGTGTTATTTCACAGACTGCTTTTAAGTAAGTTTTGGTTTCTTTAGGGCGGTTAACGACCGGTTAATTTTCGCCTTTGGGTCCCAAATAAAGAATTTTAAGAGCAAGTTGAACAGCTACAGGCAAAAATTAACAGGTCACCAACATCCCAGTTTATAAATTTTGGGAAGGGGGGGGGGTATTTTCTGTTCTGAAACATGTTATTGATGTATATAGATTCTAGAACGTGTATTCTAGTTGGGAAAATATTAAAAATACATAGGATAACATATGTCGGCCCCATCAAGCATATTGGAGAAATCCTCCTAACTGCTCTTTCTCTAGCCCTATGCCGAAAGTGCCCCCACTCTATTCGGAACCTCAAAATTAGGATTTTCCAAAAATTAGAATTCCGTATTTAAATTAACAATAGAAATCCTAATGGTCCAAATCCTAGTGTCTATTTTTTATATTTTTTTTTTCACAAAATTTTTAGTTATCGCGGAGCAGCCCAAATATTGTATGATACAACAAATGCTTTAATTCCCCTATTAAATCAATGTTATGGAAAAATGCGTGGAGCTGGAGTTTTTGATGTTTTTAATGAAGTAGTTTTCTTAGAAAATTTTTAAACTTCTTAAATTTTCAAGAAATGTATTTCTGTTCTTTCTACACTTCGTCTACTTTCCTTACCTCCCCCAACAGCTATATTACTTAAAGATGAAATTAAAAATATTCCGGAACAACAATTAGATTCAAAATTGGAACAATTTGATATTATTGGAATTAATAAGGCTAAAGTAATTCAAATTTTTGAACAAAGATGTGATTTGGTAGCTATTGAAAAATTAATTAGTTGAAGAAAATTTTGTTGTTTACTTTTGGACTGTGATTTTTTCTAATATGTATAAGTAAAAAACTTTTCTAAATTGCCTTAAATAATGAATAGGGCCGCCCAAGATATGCAAGTAAAATCACAAAATATGCATTAAGAACCCGGTCCTAAAATGCATGGGCCAATATAAAAATGTCATTTTTGATCATTTCATTTCGAGACATATTCACATTCAAAACATGCATTTGCATGTTTTGAACAGCACTAATAGTATAAATTTTCTTCTGAAAATAATGATTTGGAACGTTGTTATTCACAAAAGAATGTGTGAATGATATACAGAAATTAGTCATATTTTCATTATTTGTTTCAACATTTTTAGCCAAATGCATAATATTTTATTCTTTTTTAAAATTCTGAATAATTTTTATGTTCTCGCGTTATTGTAATACATCAGATCTGTACTGCGGCTTACTTAAAGGTGCTTGTAATTTGAAGAAAAAACGCTGCGATTGTGAAAGTGGTAATTCTTTGATAAATTTATAATAGGGTAAAAAGGATGTAATAATGAAATATAACGTATATCGGGGAGACGGGATATAGAGATTAGAATGTATAAAAAGTGGTCTGAAGTCAATTACTAGTCTCAAAGGACGATTTCCCCACAAAAGGCCGGAGTAAATATCACATTTTTATTTATTTTTAATTTTAAAGCTTACAAAATGCTAGGATTCTCTTCAATGAAAGAAGCCTATTCAAACTTTTGCTTCAAAAAATCTTGCACCAAGTTTAACGAAGATGTTGAATGTTTTGGTATGGCTTGCGGAGCAGGCGAGTGCCGATGCCGTTAAAGAGGAAAGTTTTTAGTGAAATTGGAAGTTGAATTTAAAAAACTAAAAATATTCAAATTGTTCTTTTGTTAAAATGTGAATAAAATGAATTTTTGGTTTTATTTTGATTGTAAATCAGAAAAAAAATTTTTTTTTTAATTTTTTTAACTAGCAAAATTATAAAATTTTAGATCAGGCAGGACTACATATTTATAAAATATATTCTTTTCAAATCATTGCAATTGTCCTCTTTTCTTTAAACAAACTTTTCCCTTTTCTTCCCAAAAGTTGTAAACCTCTTTTAAATGGATTTGATGATGGATTAAGCAATCCACGCAGATTAAATATATGTTGTGCCGAATTTGCCTGGTATATTTTAACGTGGACATTGCGTGCTTGAATTATATCTCCAGCTTTTAAAGCTTTGGCCTGTTCGGAAAATTCATCTGAAAAAAAAATTTTTTTTAATTTTTTATACAAAAAATATTTTAATTTACAATAAAAAAGTCCCAATTATCATAAAATTTGATTTTCCGCTACTGGGATTCGAACCCGGATCCCTTTTGAATAATACTCGTTAGGTGAACCCAACATTTTCCAACTACACCAAAAAGCGATTTGGAGTTGTTTTGACGCATGGACGTTTTGGCACACATATGAAAGGGCGTGGCACGAATTTTGCGAACCAGAAAATTTGCGTTACGAAAGTTGCGGATCTATAAGTTGCATCCAAAAAATCCGGATCGCGTGCGAGTTTTGAGTCCGCAAAGTTCGGCTCGCCATGAGGCGTGCTTGAATTATATCTTCAGTAGTGTTATTCAAACGCGTTTTTTCGGTATCGGTATTTTCGGTAAAATACCGATACCGAAAAAATACGGGACTGGGCCGTTTTGGCGCGTGGCCGTTTTGGCGCGAGCTTATAAGATAGCGAGTTCGTTATCAAAAACGATAAAATATTGCAATAATAACTCTCGTACCTTTATCTAAGTTCTCCAGAAATTTCAGAATTTTTGATCAAGAATTTCGGAAATTCTGGCCAAAAATGTTGATTTTCTGAAAAATGCCTAATTTTTCGAGGTCATCGACTATAACTTCAGAAATATTTGATAAAAAATTCTGAAATTTCTGGAACAGGTAGTCAAAGATATTAAAGAAATTTGAGAAAATTTTTATGAACTTTGGTCTCACCTAAGTGTCACTTTTTGTTCTCGCGCCAAAACGTCCCGGCGCCAAAACGACCCCAACCCAAAAAATACCGATTTTTTAAAAATTGTTCGGTGCCGTATTCGGTATCGGTATTTCGGTAAAAATACGGCGGTATTACCGAAAAATACCGCCGTAATACGGTACCGTGAATAACACTAATCTCCAGCCTTTAATGCTTTGGCCTATTCGGCAAGGTTTCTCTTATAAATAATTAAAAAACCCTCCCCCTCCCTACCAAAACAACTAAATACTTGAACATATTCTCTCATATTTTCATAATTAAGATTTCCATCAAATAAATCATCCAAAACGTGATAAGTTGGTTCTGTTAACAAAAAAGGTTTTGTAGGCCTAGAAATTTGATTTTTAAAAAATTAAAAAAAATTTTGTTTTCTTACGATGCCAATTTTGTTCCATCACAAACATACAAATAAACAGGGCATCCATTTTTAATGTCTTCTTTAGAAGGGGAAGTTATTGAAAATACCTTAAGAAAAAAGTAAAAATTATTTTGGAAATTTTTTGAAAATAAAAAAATTTTTTTTTTGTCTACACTACGAAGCTGTTACACCATTCGGGGGTTGAAAAATAACTTAAGCGAGGAATATCCAAGGAAACGCCAAATGTTTGCGCACACCCCATTATAGGCCCCCTAAAATCAGACCGGCCCCTTTGAATTAATTAAAGTTAGGTTCAATTGTATGTTAAAGGTTGGTAAAATTGTGTTTAAGGATCGGAGTATGGGCCCTCAATCATAAATTTTCCTTAAAATTTTTTAGGCTCATCAACGATTTATTGGGGTTTGAAACCTATATTCACTGGGATGGGATCATTCTTATCAAACAGCTTTTCAAATTAATTTTGGGTAATACAGCCAATTTTTAAGAAATGAATAAGGGTTATGCCGGCAAAATTAACTGACAAAAAAGCTCCCAATATTAAAGAACCCAAAAATAAATTTCGGAAATTAAAAAAAAATATTTAAATTTATGGGACTCATAAAATGGATAAGAACCAAAAAACCCTCCACAGGAACGAAAAAACCCAAAATTTTTTTTCCAAAAAAAACCTCTCACCAAACAATTTATCTCAAAATATTGGCCAAAATCGCGATTGTGAAAGTCCAATTCAGCAAAATTAAAAAGACGTCCTTTTCTCCATTTAATTAAATATTTGGATAAATCCTGCATAAATAAATCATCCAAATAAATATTTTGTTTTTGAATTGGTGGGAGAGGGTTTGAAGGAACAATTAATTGAGTATTTGTTGTTGAATCGTTTTGAAGGATATTTGGGGTTGTCGAAATTGTTGTTGGGTCTAAAATTGATTTTAAAAATTTTCGGAGTAGAGTCTAGCTACTTTTGTGCCAGAGGAATAAACACAAAAAATTAGATAGGAATATTTTGAGGGGGGGGGGAATTTTTATCCGAAAATTTTCACTGGTAACAGGCATGGATTGGCTAGAAAATTCAGGCAGGGCTGACTAAGATTAGAATTGAGTCGGGTTTCAAAAATTCTCTAGATCGAATTTCGGTTTTAAAAAGTAAAGGGTTTTCAAAAATCAAATCCGATCCAGATATTAAAAATTTTTAAAAACACGGGGGGTCGTTTTGTCGTGTCCAGAAAAATTTTCCACGTTTCCTCAATCCGATTTTTAATGTTTTTTAGGAGGGATTTTTTAACGCTTTTGTGTTCCAACAAAACTCCAAAAAATCTATACGAGTTCCTTAAAAAAGGAAGGAAATATTCCCGTATTCCACCCAACCAACCAAAAAAACTCAAAAATTAAATAAAACCTTTCTCAGGTTCCTTTGTCTGCACTGGAGATGTATTTAATCTGGAGGAATCTGCAGTCAATGAGTCCGGGTTTGAAAAGCTAATACACTCATCAAAGCTATTATCGAAGTCACATTCATTAGTTGGACCTTCACGTTGAACCTTTCTGGTTGAAATTTGTTGAGAATTAACATTTTGTTGGGAGGAAATATTTTCTTTGTTTTGAGATTGTTTCTAAAAAAATTTTAAGGAAAATTAAAAAAAAAATTTTTTTTCTAAAAATTTTTTTTCCTAAAAGAAACCCCAAAAATTTTATAGAAGCTTTTTTAACTTAAGTCAATACCTATGCGTTAGCAAAGCTGTAGTTTATTAATGTTTTGCCCAGACTAGGACATGGATACAGATATTGTAAACATGCCTGCGGATATCCTTCTCTATCCGCCGTAAATATCAGGATACGGATACCGAAATCAGTATCCGTTTCCTAGTCTGGTTTTGCCTACTTTTGTGGACAGCTTTGCTAACACATAGATATTCATCCGCGTTCAAAAAGCTCGTCTAAAATTTTTTTGGGTTTTAGGGGAAAACTTTAAAACTATTTAAAAAACCTGTTTTTTCCTTTCAATTTCTTCAAACGATTTTTCAACCTCAACAAATGACTCATCAAGTAAATTCTCTTTATTACTATTTAAATTGTCTCCATTTTGTTCCTTTAACAATTCACCCCCAATTTTGAGAAGGTTAGAAAGTTGTTCAATTATTTTTTGTTGTTGTTCGAGTATTGTCTGGGCATATTTTGGAATGTCCTCTCCATCAATTTGTTGATTAATAATTATAACATTTTGAAAATCTAACATTTCAATTGAATCAATAAATTGTTGTCTTTTGGAGGTAAATGAATTTTGTTTTTGCGGGTTAAGTGAAGAATGTGGACGCTTAGTCATGTCTAAAAAAGTAAATTAGAAAAAAAAATAAGCAGAAATAATTGAAACAGCCTCAAAAAATCTATTTCCCGCTGAAAAAAATTTTGGGATCAAATGTCCAATTTTTTTACATTTGATCCCTAGCTGGTTTAGTGCCTTATTTGAGAGTAAGTAGTATACAGTAAGATTTATCACTATTTAATTATTTATCAATTTATCACTATAGGTTTTTAGTTTATAAAAACCTTCTCCCCTTCCTTCTCTCCTTCCAGCTGTAACAGAAGTGTGCTGTAACAGATTTTAAAGGACGCAGGCGAAGGGCGAAACAACAAAAAAGTAGGAAATCGGCGAAAGGCGAAATTGGCACACCCTTGATATGTAAATGCGGAAATAGTGGTGACCGGCAAAATTGATTTATCCGGACTTGTATCTTAAGACGGACCCGGCTGGATTATTTCAGAGTAAAAAATCCTTGATTTTGAACCCAGACTTGGGAAAAATCCGGCCGAATCCGGTCACTAGTAAATTGTCTTTATGGGTGAAGTAAAGCAACTGGGCTATAGCTATTTCTCGCCTTTAGCTAGTGCAAAAGGTTATTCGCGGCTGGGAGCGAACCAGCATCTTCAGTAGACCGGACTGATGTGTTAGTCGTTACACCACGCCGCCAACTGCATAGCCTTAGGAAATTAATAGCTATACACTTTGGTTTAAAATAAAAAGCATTTTTCAAAATTTCTTCATTTTATTCTAAAGCTAACATTAAAAAACACACACAAATTAAATGTTTGTATATCTTCAACCAAATTACTCAGTAATATTAATTTTCAATTCATTATAAACATAATTAAACAAAAATCCGTCAATCTTCTCTTTTATAATTTTTATTGTTTCCTCCTCATATTTTTTATTTAAATCCATAGAAAAACATTTTTTAGGCACCTCTTTACACTCATTAAAAATTTTAAATAAATCCATTATAATTTCAAAATCCTCCCATTTTGTGTTTAAATAGTCCAATTTAAACGTTGATTCGAGCAATTCAATTAATGCAGAAAATTGAAGAAATGTTGTGATTTTCTTTGAAACCGTGTTGAAATTGTATATACGATTGTTGTAATTATTATCTAAAATTTTTTTGTTAAATTTGGAATTATGGCATGGGTTACGATTTTCTAAGTCTGAACTAGGGTTGTCGGTTCTGGACCAAACTGAACCGAGGATTTTTCGATGCGGTTCTTCGGTTCGGCTTCGGTTATCCGAAGAATTTCCAAGAACCAACAACCCTATGTCTGAACTAGGGTAGCATCCCGAGCCTTCGAGGACGGGATTGTCGGGGATCGGCGTTTGCCGGGGTAGGATCTTCGGGGTTCGAGTTTTTGCCTAAAAATTCGTCAGGTGTCGTGGTTTCGGAGGACGGGGTGATACCCTAGTCTGAACCAAGGTTTTCCGCAAATGAAGTTTTTTCATTTTTATCGTGTCTGGCCCAGTTTCCAAGGGTTTTTTCCTTTAACCTGGTCCGAACGTGGTTGGTGAGTAAACCCAAAAATCAGATTTTATCAAAATACCCGGGTTCCGGGCCCGGGTTGGAAATCTAATTTTTATTTATTTGATAAATTTGAATAGATATAAATATTGCCGTATATGCTCGAATAATTACCATGTGTACTTTTGCTGGAGGGAGTAATTATTCGAGAGGATGTGCTAAATTCGGGGTATATCCTAATCGAGGAATTATTTGAGGGAGGGTAATTATTCGAGCATTTACGGTAATCATAATATACAGCATAATCTGTCAGCCAATTCCTGACTAAAATCTAAAAGAATCATTCCATATTTATCCCAAAACATGTTGAAATTTTGATACTTTTCCTCTCCAATTTTATCGGGCATTTCAATTAATTCATTAAAAATTTTATTTTCTTCAACTTGCTGCAAAATATTTTTTTCATTTTTAATTTTTTCAAAAATTTGTTTTGTCATTTCTAATAATTTTAAATAAAAAGTTTTTCCTTCCAACTCTCCAAAATAAATATTTCCATTAATTTCCCATTTCCCCCCACATTTTTCTTTCATTTTTTCATCCAATATTTTTTTAATTTCATCAAAAGTTTTATCATTTACATGCCCTTGATTTAAATTAATTTTTTGTTCGTGAAGTATCATTTTTATGGTGTCAAAATGCAGTTTAAAATGTTGACTTAAGTTCTTTATACTAACACACCCATATAAAAATAAGACGCAAAGTGCTTGAATAATTGGCCTCTATTTTATAAAAAATTTTAATAATTAAAAAAAATAAAACGGGTATTTAATTGGAAATATCAACCAGACTAGGACATGGATACGGATTTTGGTATCCGTATCCGGATATTTACGGAGGATACAGGCGGATATCCGCAGGCATTTTGGTATAATCTGTATCCATATCCGTATCCATGACCATGTCTGATATCAACCCGCCCATCAGGGATGGGACGCGTTAGAAAAAAGTCGGATCGGGGTTAGGCTTTCGGGTCGAAAAAAGACTGAGTTACAAGTAATCCGCCTTCATCCCTATGCCGAAAAAGATTTTAAAAAGCGAAAGACGAAAATCGATCACCAAAAAAGGCGAAAGACGAAACTGCAATTCCCGATATGTACATAGCAAGGATGGGACGGGCAAGGATGGGACGGGCAAGGATGGGACGGGTTACATAGCAAGGATGGGACGGGTTACCCGAACCCCGATCCGAAGAAAATTTTGAAAACCCGACCCGACATTTTTCTCAGCCCGTCCCATCCCTGATACATATAGTGATAGAAGCAGGTCAGCCTAAACCGTGTACCCAATATTAGTCGAATGACTACAGATTTTCGTTAAATTTTCGAATCCCTGACAGCTTAGTTCATTTCAACTCAATCCTTGCCTGATATGTTTCGAAATAAAAAATATTCGAAATCTGAAATTTAAAATTAGAAAATGGGCACGCGCCCTTAACAAAATTTTTCAATAGTTTGCAATTGTACCTCCAATTTATTTATGTTTCGATTATGAGTGTTTAACTTGCTGTAATTATCTAACGCATTTTCCAACCCTTTATTTTCATTTTCATAATAATATTTAATTATATCTTCTTGCGTTTTTTTAGGTATTTTATTTTTTGAATTCCCTACTGGGAACAATTTCTTTTGAAATGTGTTAATTTCTGCCATCTTTGCTCTTCTACTAAATTTAAAAAATTTAGAACCCAAGATCTCCTTTCTAACCCAGAAGTGAGACCAGAAGAGAGATTTGTCTCCCTTCCTTCTAACCCAGAACGTAGACAGATCTCCCTACTAAATCCCTCGATCAATATATCACCGATACCCCCCCCCCTATCCACCGATACTTTAAGTTGTAACTCCTTTAAGACCAAGAAGCCAGATTTCTTCCTTTTATGGAACAAATTTTCTGGAAAATATTGAGTTTCGGGTCGGGGTTTTTGAAAATTTATCGAGCCGTTTGCTGGGTAACCCGGCACATTCTTATCGTGTAGTCCCAAAAACATTGCCGCCAAGATCATGACTTATCACTGACAATGCCTCAAAAATTTGTAAATTTTTAACCAAATTTAATTTAAGATCTTGGCGGATCTACAGCTCACGGAGCCATGCCCCAATACTGCTAACAATTCAAACCTCTCTTCTAGATATCTTTTTTTATCATTGATCTTTACTAATGTTCCTTCATTTGCCTTTTCAAAATTTTTTATTTTGATTTTTGTATTAGGCAAATCATCATTTTGTTTGTCAACTTAAAGCAATTTTAAATGATTTTTAAATTAAAAATATTACAAGGATCGTTTCCTGACGTAGAAGATTCTACTATTGTTAGAAACAATAATAATACAAATTTGACCAGCATATTATTAACGTTGTTAAAAAAATTGGATATAGTATACAGGAGTTTTAGTTTCGATACAGAACCCATACCATGCGATTCGTCTCAACGAACTGAGTAGAAGGGTACTCTCTTTTCTTCCGAAGATGCCTGTGGGCCGAGATATAGGTCCCCACAAATCGAAGAACCTTAGGAGGGAGCTCAACGCCAAAATTGAGCCTACTCCCCCTATGGGTTTTCGATTTTTGTGGACCTATATCTCAGTCCACAGGCATCTCCGGAGAAAAAGAGTCTCAGCTCTCAGCTCGTAGAGACGTATCGCATGGTATGGGTTTTGTATCGAAACTGAAACTCCGGTATACTATTAGGACTGCAACTCGAATAATTCCCCTCCCCCGATTAATTCCCCATGCCAAGGAAGGGTTGAAAAAATAATTCCCCGGGGGAATTAATCAAGAAAATAAGGTATTTCTTAATTGATGTGAGGAATTTAAAGGGTATTAATTAATTACACAGTCTTTCTTTAATAAAATTTTATAAAGTGCAAAATAATAGCGGGAATGTATAAAGGGCTAGTCTGACTCTAATTATGAAATAAATATTTCAAAATATTATTTCCTCATGCTTTAAAAGGGCAAAAAAAGGGCAAATAGTAGTCGGTAATCCCTTTTGATAATAAAATTTTTTAAAATTATTACAGAATGCCAAAAAAATTCTTTATCCTTTTTTTTACTTTTACATATCTTCTCCAAAAAATAAGAAACAAATTTAAATACCCTAAATCCTCTATTATAATACCTCTATGTTTTACATTGAAGCCAGACCTAAGACCTAACCAACCAGACACACTTAACGAAAAATTGTACGATTATAACAAGGTTGCAGATGTGCGGATTTTTCATGCGGATTTTCCCCTATTTTCCGGTTCTTTGATAGGTCGATGAGAATTCTGGTACTATGCGTCTATAGTGATCTTAATTTAATTATTGCGTTTGAACTTTTCTCAGCTCAAAATTGCGGGTTTTTAAAAACTCGAGACCGAACCATGCCTTGTATTGAGGTGTATCTTAAATAGAAGGTATCAATTAAGAAGCTCCCTCACCCAATGGCCATCCAAAGTTTGAAATGCCACATCTTAGATTGATGTATTGGGAGTGTCTTTATAGTGAAGTCTTACTTTTATGTTGCGTAATATTCATTGAATGGAGGATGGAATAATAGGACCCAGGATGGAATAGGACCCGGTTCAGACTATCCCACAACCAGAACCCGGGTTATTTTCATACGTTAATATCCCTTCTGCAAGTACACGAACATACGGAAATCTTCACTTTGAATTTAAGTTTCCTCAGATTTTTTTGTCAGCTAATGGGTAGAGGTAGTCTAATAGAGGATTTACAAAAGTGTGTTAAATAAAGAAAATTTCGTTCCATTCCAATAACTTTGTAAAAGTAATCTTCTCTCTTCAATTCTCTCAAAATTTCATCCTCATTTATGTCATATCCTCTCTCTCAATTATCACCTCCATTTCCTCCTCCCCCTCAATCGCGACGGCCTCGCTGAGCACTGCGTCGTTGACCATTCCCACCATTTCCTCCGTTGCCATCATCATCACGAGAGCGACGTCTTCCACTGGCATGCTGGCTACTGCCTCCAGCTTCACCGCTGCTTCCACCTTCACCGCTGCCTCCAGCTTCTCCCGTTTGACCACCAACAGTTGCATCAGTTGGATTGTATGGGATGTAAAGCTAAATATGATAGAGTGGAATTTGATAAAGAATCATCCAAAAATAACCTCTCGAATTTTTCTTGGGATTCTTAAATCACCAAATTGCTCCAACTGGATTACTCGAGGGTCATAGCCCAATTCATTGTTGGTTACTTGATGAGTTATTTGTTCAATCAAACAATCATTTATATAATATTGTTCAAGTCTTCTTGAAAGATCGTCGTCATCGCTTCCAAAAACGAGGTCAGAATATATGAGTTTGTATAAATCGTATGTATTTGGTCGTCTGCCTTGGATTCGAAAGGGTTCAAAAGCCTCAAATTCCTCGATGTTTAGCGGTGGACTTTGGGTTACTTAAATTTTATTAGTGTAGTGTTAAGATTAACATAATGTAAGTCTGGCGAGGCCTTTCTAGCCTAGCTAAGAGTACAAAGATGGAAATCATAAGTGAGCTTAAGCCAGATCAGGAGATAAGATGTTAAAAATGTCGGAGAGTTAAAAGGTCGGAGTCTATTAATTGTAAGGCGGCTTTATTAACTACATAGACTAGGAAGAGGTTCTCCCTAATCTAGCTAATAAAGCAAAAGATGAAAACCAGTAAAATGGTTAGGCAGCTGGAAAGCCAGTCTTTATCAATCAGTCTTTGTCGGATTTGACCAAAGACATCTCATCTATCTAGACTAACATAATCAGTAATGGGTATGACACTACATAGGAGTTAGGTAGTTCCTGATCTGACTCCGCCCAGAGCGTGAGCCAGGATGTTGAAATGCAATTGTCCCGTCTAATTTCAACATTTAGCTGGGAGGGTTTATTAGCTACATATACATATAATCTATTTAATTACTTTTGTATGTGTCAATAAGCGGCGCGTATTTCCGAAACGCTTCAATGTTCCCTACGTTCTCATAGTCTAGGTTGCATTGACAACTAACAGGATATGCTCCATCTGTCAACTCCAACTCGTCGCTTCGAAGATCTCTAACCAAACTTCCAATCCCTTAATTTTAATTTTAAATCTAAGAACGATTTTATCAACTATATCACCCTGTATAGTATTAAAAGCTCTATTTGCCAACATATTATGCAGTTTGTTTGCAGTTATTTCATGTTCATCGAAAAAATAGACATATTTAACAATTGTTAATTGAACTCTAAAATTTCAGAAAATAAACTAAATTTTGAAAAAAATTTTAGAAAAGAACGGAAGAAGAGAAATGAGTAGAGAAGAGCGAGGTAAAAGTTTAATCCCGGGAAGGCTTGATCCTGCGACCTTCTGGCAGTTATTGCTAGGCGCCTTCGCTCACTACGTACAGGTGCTCTACCAACTGAGCTACCTTGCTCTTCCTTGCAGAGATAAGGGAAACATTCAAAAGATTACCTAAAAGGTTGATTTTCCTCATCTACTAGAGTAGGCAAATGTCTAAAAAGATCCATATATGCATGTGAACTATCTTGGATAAATGACAAAATCAGTCTTCGTGTTAAAACAAATAATTTGTAGTAAAGAAACAAATTTCTCTCTTCTTGTAAAATGTTAAGCAAAAGTCTCTCAAGTTGTTTTAATTGCCCATTACTAAATTGTTAATAAAATTATCCATTAGATTTTGATCAGAAATAAGTAATAAATTGACATTTAAGTAAGGCTATCGGGTCGAAAACGGACCTAATAGCTTAGGGGTTTCGGTTTGTTTCCTTATTTGTCTGTATCAAGGGTTTTGCAGAAACAACGAGAAAGGCGAACTACCAAAAAAAGTAAAAATCGGCCGAAAGGTGAAACGGCACGGCTTTAGCTTAGGACATGCGTCATGCGTCCCCTGAACTTTTATGCGTTCCAAAATTAGCATAAGCGTTACATTAGAGTCGTTTCGATTAAAAAATATCAATTATTCGTGAAAAGGCTCGAACCTTCGACCTAAGTTTTAAAAGGGATTTTGTAGTCAGCGCTCTTATCCACTTAACCAAAATTTCAATCCATTTTGCCATTTATTTGTCCCTTATACTAAACTTTATTTTATATGAAAATTGTAATGTTTAAGAGACTCAATTTAAAAAATAATCTACAAAATAAATGAACAGAAAATTATTTACCGAATATTCCTTAACGAAGCAGGAATATAGTTCAAATTTCGGTCAGCACCAAACTCGTCTATAGCTAAGCCATAACCTTCAATAAATTCAATCCCTCCAACAATTTGTCTATAATCCTCGATTCTTCTATTAAGAAAACGAAGTTTTCCGTCTCTTCTCAAACTGTCGTAATGTTGCTTTACACTTGCTTCGTGGGTGTTAAGCACTTGTGTAAAATAACGAAATACCTTTAAATGTTTAAATCATAAATGTAAAGAGTAGGAAAAAGTCGGACCGTTACATTCTGGTTATAATTTTAGTTTAGGTTAATTGCTAAACAGGATGTTTTACCTCACAGAATAGCAGATAACTGATAAAATAAAAACGAGAAAGTGGTAGGACAGGGGTGAGCGCATTGCATTATTTGCGTTAAATTTTGGCCTTGCGTTTTGCGTCTTACGTTTTTTGAGATCGTCCTCACCCCTTAGGATGGTCGCCCGAGGTCGTTTCCCGACCCGACACCCCTTTCCCGAGTCACTGTATTAAAATAGCAAATGTATTTAAAAATACCTTTCCTATCTTAGTGCGAAGCTCATGAGCGACTCGATCATCTGCCTTCAAATCAACGTCATCTACAATTGGTTTTACTATTCTATCGAATATATCAAGTTGTATATCATAAACATTTAAACCCTTTTCATTTCTCTCAAATTCAATTGTAGCCAAAATTTTCATCATAATGGACAGCTCCGTGAGAGAAAAAGTGGGAGGATTGACATGAGCAATCTCTTTGCCTTTACCAGTTTGCATCGCTATTTTTAGTTAAAAATTTAGTTAAAAATATTTTTTAAGGACTAAAATTCACCAGGAGCCTTGCGCATTCCTTTGACATGAAGAGGAGTAAATCCAACAAAAATCAAGACAATAAATGTCTTGGAAAATGTATTAAAATACATTTTAGTAAAGAATTTTGTTCGAATTTTTACTCAGAATTTTTACTCAAATAGAAAATTTTCTGAAAATTTTTTTAAAAAATTTATAAATTGCCCATCTTTATGAGGGTCCTGTAGCGAAGTGTTAAACTACCTACTTTCGAATTTTCACTCCCAAATATTTTTACTTTTGTAGATACAAAGTCTAAAAGTACCAGAGAGGGGCTCTTTATCAGTGAGAGGCCAAGGAGAGGCTCTTTACCAGGGAGAGGCTCTTTACCAGGGAAAGGCCAGGGTTCCTTCCCTTCTCTTCCGTCTTCCGGATTTTAAAATAACGAAGAGCCCTTCCCTGTTAAGTAATGTAAAGTCGAGCTGGCTTAAGCTTTAATGAAACGGTTATTTAGGCGGCTGGGAGCGAAACAGCTTCTCAGTTGATTGGACCGTTGGACCCGGATTGCTTTACAATACTAGAGAGCGGAATGGGATCGGGACCCGGTCCCATTTCCCGGCTTTTTTGAAGATGCCGGGATGAAACCGGATTGGGAATTCCCGGTTTTCCTGGTCCGGGTCTTCTGCTACAATTTTCCATTCCCAGTTTTTTCAAAATTACTCTTAAATTGAGTCTTATAGAAAGGTTTGACAGTGATTTTTAATTTTAATTTTAAATTTATTTAAATATTAAAAATGAATTTTTACTTTAAATTAAATTTAAAAATAAAAGTAATAAAATTAAACAAGTAAAAAATTTTTTCATAGGGCTTTTGAATATAAAATTAATTATTGGCTATCGATTCCCCCAAGCTTCTCTTATAAGGGATTTTTGGGGAAGCAAATCTTGTGTAATGCCTATAGTCTAAATTTAAATAAAATGCGTGGGTTTGGCTTAAGACTTGGCTGACTTAAGACATGGAGAGAGAGACTTAAGAGAGAAAGTTAAGAGAGAGAGGGAGTTAAGAGAGAGAGTCAAGAGAGAGAGAGAGTCAAGAGAGAGAGTCAAGAGAGAGAGACAAGAGAGAGAGACTTAAGACTGACTTAAGACACTTAACTTAAACAACTTAAGACTTGGCTGACTTAAGACATGGAGAGAGAGTCAAGAGAGAGAGACAAGAGAGAGAGTCAAGAGGGAGAGAGAGAGACTTAAGACTGACTTAAGACACTTAACTTAAACAACTTAAGACTTGGCTGAGTTCGAAATTTCGATTTTAAGGGGAAGAGGACCCGAGTGGAGGTCTGTCAGTTCTATGGGGATATAAAAAATAAAAAATTGTATAGTAAATTTGGAAAAAAAATTTTTTTTTAATATTTAATTTGCAAAGCATATTAGGGCTGAATTTTCTTCCGCCTTCCGCTTTTTTATTTTATTTTACTTTCTTCCGCTTCCTCTTCCGCTTCCTCTTCCACTTTTTAAAATTCAAACTTATCCAGCCCTAATGTGAATAGCCAAAACAGCATTTTACTAATGAGAGCTAGAGTGAGTTCGAAATTTCGATTTTAAAGGTAAGAGGTCTGTCAATAAATAATCGGAAATTGAAAAGGTAATCCTGAATTTTGGAAATCTAAAGGAAAAAAGTCGGAAAATGAAATTCTGCCTAATCTTCTAGTGAGGGTCAGAGTTGTTTCGAAATTCCGATTTTCAAAGTATTTCTTTCAATTTTGATTTTTAGTTTTTTCTGTTTTTTTTTTGATTTTCGAAATTAAAAAAATAATTTCTAAAAAGAGGAAGTTTGGCTTTTAATATTTTAAAATCCCAAAAAAGTTTTTCACTCTTGATTCTAAACTTTTCTTGGGGATTTGATCTTTGGGTGATCTTGATCCTGGTTGGCCTTGATCTTGGTCTTGGTGTAAAGTCTTGGTCCCGACTTTCTTAGCTTTTGAAAATTACACAAAAGGCTGAAAAACAAAAGAGACGAGCGATGATGGCAGGCATAGCAAAAAGGGATGAATAAGTTGAGATGGATAAAGGATCACGGCTTTTGCGCCGAGCGCCGCCAT